CAGATTTCAACTCTTTGCTACTTCTGAAGTAATCGTGTATTAGGTTTCTACTATTGAATCAACGGTTGCTTCACGTTTGAAACCTTTCCAATACACCGTTTAAGAGTAAACTAATTTCTCCATATAAAATCTTCTTAATATTTTATATAGATTGGAACGAGTTAAGCAACCTTCTAGATCTATCTCCATAGATCAAGTTGTTTCTCCCATATCGCTCAAAAATAAATCCTTTAACAACCATCATTTCAACGATTGAAACATAGGGATGTCGTTTTCTCTAAAATTAGGAATACGACAATACTCCCACTATCTTCTTGTAAACACACAATTCATCTTCAAATTTGATAAAATCAAACACTTTGACTTTTTCCATCAAATCGAAGATTTCAGCTCCATAGAGACTTATCTTAACCTATAGTTACGATATGCAGTTATTGCAAATAAAATCCGAATGAATTTCAGCAAGGCCACAAGAAAAAGGTTTCACCAATGTCAACACTTAACATTTGATTCTAACCTTGCTTTATATATATGGATATTCACATCCACATCGACCTTTCCCTTGTAAACTATTTACAAAACCTTATGGGTTTTATTCCATCAGGAGGCTCGACCAAGGTCCAAACCTTGTTCACATACGCCGAGTTCATCTCAAGTATCATGGCCTCTTGCTGTCTCTTTTAAGTCAACACTTGATTTTGTTTTGTTGCAACTAGCAGGTTCATTATCCTGGATCACTAATACCTGATTAATGATCATGGATTCGCACCTTCTTGAAGGTCGAACGATCCTACTAGATTCACGTAAAGCTGTCATGTCCCCAGGAGTTTTTACTTCTTGATCCAAAGTATGTCACATATCAGATATGGGACCAAACTCGAATTTATCTACTTGGTTAACTATATCTATGGACTCTTGAACTCTTTCAAATTCTATTTTACTCCCACTGTCCTCTCTTAGAATAAACATTTTCTCTAAGAAGACGATATGTCGTGAGACGAAAACTTTCTTCATGATAATAGAATTAATATTCAAACGTCTGCTTTGAATATCCCCACAAATACTTATTTATCAGATTTAGCGTCAACCTTATCTGATTCAAGGTGCTTCAAATAAGCGTCATGGCCCCAAGCTATCATATAAGATAAATTGGGACTATTACCTTTCCATAACTCGTATGAAGTCTGTTAACCAATATAGATGGGACATGATTTAGTGTGTTACACACTACAATCAACGCATAACTCCAAAACAATTTTAGGAGATTTGCATAGCTTGTTATTAATCGCATTATATCTAATAATTAACGATTCCTCCTTTTAGATACACCACCTTGCTGCAATGTATATGAAGGAGTCCACTGCAAGACAATCTCATTCTCTCTTAGATAATCTAGATTTTATTTTTAAAATACTCTCACTTGATCGAATCTTAATGTGAGGGTATCTTTACCTATTTGTTTCTCTAATTCTAGTGTGAATCCCTTGAACTTTTCAAGAGTTTCATGTTTGAGTTTTTATCAAGTATACATGATCATTGATGAAATAAGAGAAACATTACCTGACATTAATTGACACGAGTCCATATACATCACCATGCATTAGACCAGTAATTATGCTGACCTTTCTTCTTTTCAAGTAAAAGAAGATTTGGTCATTGTACCAGACATGCATAATTTTTACTTTCCAAAATCAATTAATCTCAAGTATACATCTTTATGTAACTTTGGAATTACATTTCATCTAAATGACGAAATCTGTCATGCCAGATTTTGGTAATAATTAGATTATCGCATTTATGCCTTTTAATTTCTATACTCATTATAGAATCCCTAGTATTAAAGAATATAAACGTCGTTTTGTAATTTACCATAATCATTAGGATCTTTATCAAGATAAACAAGAACAACTATTGTCCTTAACATTAAAATAGTTCATGTCGGAACATGAAATTTATTTTAATATTCCAGCTATGGTTGGTATAAAGTGACATTTCTTTAATTCCAATACTAAACCAAAAGGCAATGACAAGAAGTATATTCATACAGGCAATGCAGCAATCTTTGCTTATCTCCAACGTGTATGTCAACTTCTTCCTTTCGCAGTGGTCTACTTCCTTTTTAGTTTATCCATGTTTGTATAAATATGAGATTTACTTCTGGTATCAAATACCTAAGAAACTAGTGAAGTAGACTTAAG